ATACAGATTTGAATTGTACATATTTTGTACATTTTTATACAATATACTTTGTTATAATAATATGGATGATTAAAACGTTGCCCATTCGCGGCTAATTCAAAAAGTGCTATAAAAATTGGACTGGGTGAAATTTGGGTACATGATGATAATTTCTCAAATCTGATGGTTGATTTGAATTGTACATATTTTGTACATTAACGACGTATACACTGGAGGTGTACGAAAGTTGAAAAAAAAAATCCGTAAATCGAACTTTTTTGATTTTTGAACTTTTGGCTCCAGATAGTGACCCGATGAAAATTTTTCAAATCTGATGGGTGATTTGAATTGTACATATTTTGTACATTTTAACGACGTATAAATTTGGTGTACAAATTCGGGTAAACATTTTCCGGGTTATGATATTTTCAATTTTTAAAAATCCAAATTCTGAAAAATTTTTGTTGGTACATAATCATAAAAATTGTTGTACATAATTGTACATAATTAGTACATTTGAATGGGGTAGAATAAAAACAACTTCTCGAAAAATTGGTATTTTAAAACGAAACCTAAAAAAAATTTCAATAAAATGTGAATCAATTTTTTTCTGTCCAATTGAAGTGAATCAAGAAAATTTTGTTCAATAAAAGTGAACCAAAAAAAAAATTTCACTCGGTTTTTTCAGTGTAAAATACACTAAAATGAATTTTTTTTTTGGGTTCACTTTTATTGAACAAATTTTTTTTGGTTCACTTCAATTGGACGAAAAAAAATTGATTCACTTTTCATTGAAAGTTTTTTTTAGGTTTCGTGTTTAAACATTTTTCGAGAAGTAGTTTTTATTCTACCCCATTCATTTTAGTAGTATATACGATTTTTCGAAAATTGACATCGACCGGAAATTGACTACCTATCCTCGTAGCCAACAGTAATCGCGATATTGTTGCTGCAAAATGCATTATGCTCAAAGGTATGAATCAATTGAAAATAGAGTCTATTCGTTATTCAATGTTTTTGCTTCTAATTACACAGGACTTTGCCGGATGTTTGGCGTACTAGTACCTGATTCGTTGTGAAGACCACCAAACAATATCAACTGACAAGCAGCAGCATTGAATCCATAAATTATTAGATGAAACAATGAGAACAGTACAACGATAGTACGGAGGGAAGGAGTATACAGTGTATACACTATATGATAACAAAATAATTTTATTTTATTTTACAAATATAAATGATTGTAGCCCAAGAAATCAAAGCTTTTTTTATTAGTTAAGCAACGAATAAATTGAAACATTTCAAAAATACGACAAAAATGTATTTCAACATCTAAGTATTAAAATAAAATTGTACTTAATATTGGTGGTTAATAACAAGAGTTTGACATTGACAGCTGAGAAAATTTTGCGTGCAGTAACATTCCACATCGTAAGTAGAATTGAATATAATATCGTTAGTTATTTCGTTTTAATTTGCGAATCGCATATTGCGGTATACCCGAGGCATACTTACTTAAAAATTACTATTCCATTACTCTACCATTCCTGATCCATTCATTCGATTCATTTTCCATTCTGTTCCATTACGCATTGATTAATTTCCATTTTTTCCATTCTTTTCTTCTGATCAACTCTTAGGTATACCATTATAATGTTCGAACCACAAGAAATTCGATCTGAACACAAAGATGTTATTCATGATGTTTCGTATGACTATTATGGACAGCGTATAGCAACATGTTCAAGCGATCAAACTGTCAAGGTATTATCTATCATAATATTGTGTTCTTTTTGTAAAACTCTATGTATTTGAAATATAGATTTGGGATCATAATGAAAAAGGTGTTTGGATAGTGTCATCGAGCTGGAAAGCGCATTCAGGTTCAGTGTGGCGTTTATCGTGGGCCCATCCTGAATTTGGAACAGTATTGGCCACATGTTCGTTTGATCGGACAGTTTCTGTATGGGTAAAACTTAAGATTTAATCAGTTATTATTATTAACATCAGTTCCATTAGTTAAGAAGTGCTATCGATTCTTTCGATTACTTTTCCATTATTTCCATTAAATCAATTTACAGTCAAGTAGGATTTGAAAATCAATCTTATATTAAGAACAATTTTCAAATGAAATAAAATCGCGATAGCAAACAGATTGTTAAAAAATTGAGTTTTTGTGAGCAGAGTAATAAAAAAATCGCCGCTGAACACAGAATTCTATTCACAGATCTTAGTATCATAAAATCACCACCAAATCTTAATTTAAAGCAATCTGTTTGTGATATATTTCCTTTTTTTTTTAATTACACGCTGACTAATATCCATTGTTCCCTTTTTTCTGATTCAACCCAGGAAGAAACAATTGGTGAGAAACCAACACCAACGATGACTCCAGTTAAAAGATGGGTACGTGGCACTTTTCCAAATGCTTTTCTATTCTTTTCATTATTTTTCCAATATGTGCATTGTGCATATAATAATATTATCAAAACCTATTAGAAAGTAGGGTTTATTAATGAAAATTATTAATTGAGAACAATTTGAAAAATAATTGAAGTCGCGATAGCATGCTTTCAAGCAGTTTGCTGGTATCACTTAAACAGATGAAGTTAGAGAGATATAAAAACCTACCATGTTGACAGTTTTTCACATTACGGCATTTTTCCACATTAAATTAATTATCCAGTTCACAAATTGAAGTGGTAAAAAATGTACAACTGTCTGGTCTTACAAATATATATATATATACCATATTGACAAAAATTGACAGTGACAAACAAAACACAAGTCAAAAAAAATTGCCAATGATGAACGAAAAACAAGTAAAGTAGTTTGTCGAAGTGATTTTTTTTTTCATGTATTCATAATCTCATTTTAATTTTTTTTCATTATATATTCAATAATTTCCTACCCTAGGTTCGTCGCACAAGTTTAGTTGATTCTAGAACAAGTGTTACTGATTGTAAATTTGGGCCCAAATCTCAAGGTCTTATACTGGCAACCTGTTCTGCAGATGGAATTATTCGAATCTATGAAGCACCAGATATCATGAATCTTTCGCAATGGACCTTAGCTTACGATGTTGCATGCAAAATGCCACTAAGTTGTTTAACATGGAATTATTCTATGTTCCGCATACAAGCTCCGATGATAGCGGTAAAAAACTTTTTTATCCTTAATTCCATTTATTGGCCCTATTATTTTTTATTACACGTAAAGATTATTTTTTAATTATATGATCATCATCATTTCACTAGGCTGGTAGCGATGAGATTCAAACTATTGGCGGAAACAATTCACGAGTCTTTCTGTTCGAGTACAGCGTGGTTGGAAACGGAAAATGGACCAAAACTGAGTCATTAAATGTTTATGATCCTGTGCACGATATTGCTTTTTCTCCCAATGTTGGACGATCTTACCATATTTTGGCCATTGCATCTAAAGATCTTCATATTTATAGTATCTCACCATCGACGTAAGTATTTCATCATATTTACTCATACATGTGCGAATTCCGAACTTCGAAGTAAAATAAAACAAACACCAAAAAAGGTGTTATGGCTGTCTTTTGAAAATAAATGGGACTACCTATTAGGATGCTTCGTTTTTTGAAAATGATTATGTACACCCCCATAACCTGAGGTCATAGGTGATGACGATGGTTCCTGGGGTTCGGATTACCCCCTCTAAAATAATTTTAGGTACCCTCAACAATTTTGGAAATTAGGACCTTTTTTTTGCTCTTCACTTTTTTTGGCCGAGAAAAGTCTTTCGATTTGCTAGGATTTTTCGCCAAAAAAGTGAAGAGCAAAAAAAACGATTTTATCCACAGCAATGAAATCCCTACTACCGTGCTAGATGGTGTCGACACGAGTGGACGGATTTTTAAATTTATTTGAACGACGTCATGTTAGTATACTTGTCCATTACAACGTACATGTAACAGAAGAAACACACAGTCCATGTCCTCGCTAGTGGACATAAACGAATTGAACCGTCAATGTGAACTAGATCAAGTATAGAACTTTACATAGGATCATATACGATGAATATGGATTACACAGTCTGTTTCAAAATACCGTCACCAATGTCGACACCATTTGACATCAAAATTTTGACAGTAAAAATATGTGTTATTGTTGTTGTCGTTTCATTGCTGTGATTTTATCCTCATTTCCGACAAATTGTTGACTTCGTCAGGGACCCCCCCATGGATTTTTTCAGAGACCCCTTACGGAATTTTGCCATCACCCCCTCTATTTAACCCTAAAACCGTCCATCGGGCACTCCACGCTCTGCTCGCACTCCATTTAAAGCAATGTATTGGGTTTCGAACACGCAGATGTGCTGCCACCTGGTATCTCAAAGTTAAGCTGCTATAAAGCACATGCTTCTTGCAAATAAAGAAGAAGAGGAAAGCAATGTCTTTACATAGGGTTGAACTTATAAATGTCAGAGAGCAGCACAACTGCAGTATTCAAAGTGCGATTGCCCTTCGGGGCACTCAGTGCCCGAGCAAAATTTCAAACTAAAATTAAACCATTTTTTTCATAAAACATCACCAAACCCCGATTTTTTTCGTGTTGTCGGCCTCTGTTCCTACTCAGAAATATAAAATATACATCTATTCACGCCATGGTTTTAGAAAAAATGGCCGGCAAAAAAAGATGGTCATTTCGTCTTTGGGGCACTCAGTGCCCGACGTATATTTTCATATATTTTGTATGGGAAAATTGCTGAATTGTAAAAAAATGTTTGTGCACGAATGAATCGATTGTTCTCATATACAAACATATATACACTTGTTACGTTGTTCGGTGTTCCGTGTGACATTCAAATAAGAAAAATAATTCATTATAAACAATTGTGTTTTGCATTGAATTGCTTCGATTTACTTTTACATATACACAACAAACATGTCTCGTGTTCAATTCATTTTTTTATTCATTTATACAATATGTGAATTCCCATACTCAGATAAATTTAACAGAGAAAACTTAAAGGCAAACAGTGTAAAATGCCATTTTGAAAATGAAACTGGTCAAATTCATAGGCACTGCTGATCTGCTGCGTACATTCATGTCTTTAGTTTACGAAATTACACAATATTTCTCAAAATATCGAGAAAATTCAAAATAAAAAATTGAAAAATTTCCATTTTTTCATACAAAATACACTAACGGGCACTGAGTGCCCCAAAGACGAAGTGATACAATTAAGTAAAAATTTGTTCATCCAATATTAATTTATTTTGTCAGCACAGTATATAAAACGTAGCTGCCGACCCGATGCGCACATTCATGTCTTTAGTTTAGAATTAGACAAAAGATTTCTCGAAATATCGAAAAAATTTCAAAAAAAAATTCAATTTTTTTAATTTTTTCATACAAAATACACTACGGGCACTGAGTGCCCCCGAAGACGGGATTAAGGTGGATTGCAGAAGGACGGTTTTAGGGTTAAAAAAAAAAATTTACGTCATCATCTATGACCTGAGGTTATTATTAAAGTTATTAAGTTTGGGTATACTTTCCATATAGAAATTCACGTTTTCGGCCATTTGTGATCATTTTTGTCATTTTTGTATGGAAAGTATACCACAACTTAATTTCATCGCCATGACGATACATGATTTGTCGATATGTCGATGACGATACATGATTTTTTTTTGGAAAAAAACATTATAGGTGTTCTCCGGATAGGTAGTCAATTTCCGGTCGATGTCAATTTTCGAAAAATCGTATATACTACTAAAATGTACTAATTATGTACAATTATGTACAACAATTTTTATGATTATGTACCAACAAAAATTTTTCAGAATTTGGATTTTTAAAAATTGAAAATATCAAAACCCGGAAAATGTTTACCCGAATTTGTACAACACCAAAGTTATACGTCGTTAAAATGTACAAAATATGTACAATTCAAATCACCCATCAGATTTGAAAAATTTTCATCGGGTCACTATCTGGAGCCAAAAGTTCAAAAATCAAAAAAGTTCGATTTACGGATTTTTTTTTTTTTAATTTCGTACACCTCCAGTGTATACGTCGTTAAAATGTACAAAATATGTACAATTCAAATCAACCATCAGATTTGAGAAATTATCATCGTGTACCCAAATTTCACCCAGTCCAATTTTTATAGCAGTTTTTGAATTCGCCGCGAATGGGCAACTTTTTAATCATCCATATTATCATAACAACGTATATTGTATAAAAATGTACAAAATATGTACAATTCAAATCTGTAT